ACTAGTTATTTTGAGTGTCTTTTTCTTTTATGTATGTGTTTAAGGTGGTTTGTTGGAGTCCTCGTCTGTCATGAACGTGTGTTAACTGTCAATGTTAGGCCTGGGTCTTCAGCTGAGTTGTACTGTATGCTATTATGTTTATGTTCTATTTGTTGTGGTATGTAATTGACAAAATACCAACTAATAACCATGCAGCCCAACCAGTGACCTTCAAACAGAAGTTGGAGAGTCAAGAGGCTGAAGAGGGAGCCAGTGTTACTTTGCGTTGTGAACTCTCCAAACCTGGAGTCTCTGTGGAGTGGAAGAAAGGAGCACAGGTTCTGAAGTCTGGAGAGAAGTACCAGATGAAGCAGAAGGCCTCAGTGAATGAACTCATTATTCACAAAGTGGTGCCAGAAGACAGTGGAGATTACAGCTGTTTGTGTGGAGACCAGAAAACCTCAGCCAACCTCAAGATCAAGGGTAGGAAGAGGATTTATTTGAAACCTAACAAAGCAAATGTATTTCTTTGCCATGTGCAAAACTGAAGTTTCATTGATAGTGTATTCTTTGTATGAAATTTGTAGTGTCAATGTTTAGAATCTGCTCTGTAGAGTTTTTTTAATTTAAGTTGCTCTTGTGTTTGGTTGTGTTGTTTAATTTTGTCTGCTTGCCTTATGTTCCTCTTGTGTGTGACTGACATGTCAAATTCTTGAGTTTTTTTGTCACATAATGTGTTTTATTGTGGTAAACTCACCATTGTGACATTTGTGTATGATCTTTTTTCGACTAAAACATTGTGCAACACTTGTGGCATTACAATTCTTGAGTTAATTCCACAAATTAACAAAGTATTTTTCTTGCTTCTGTTATTTGCTATTGGTATGTTTCCAAACTTGTCACTTGTCTTTTTTTTTTAGTATTCTGTGCAATCAAGCTGGTACAACTGGTGCTCAGTTGTTTTGTTTGCCTTTCATTTCTGAATGTTTCCATCTATTCTTTTGTTTAGCTCATGAACTCATATGAATAATCTGATATGTTATGACACACTGACTGCATTATTTTCTCTCAGCTGTGAAGCTGTCTCCGCCTCCTTCTGCTGCTGAACCAGAACCCAAAACTCTGGAGACCAAAGAAAAAACTGAAGGTAGGTAAGAAAATATGGTTGGGTGATTCTGAGCAGTATGTTTTGTTCAGTCGGATAATTGCGCCTTATTGTTGAGTCTTCCTTTAAATTGTACCTCAGAATAGGGCTGTTTCTGTTGTATCATTCTGTTATTTTGTTTTAGTAAAGTGTTGTTTGGTGGAAAGCAAGAGTTTAAAGAACTTATAGTGTGATTATTTTTGTTGCACTTGCATTGCAGTCAAGGTGGGTGAAGTTAAAAACATTGAGCAGAAGAAGCAGGAGATAAATGAAACTGTACAAGGTAACATTCTCAAGATTTACACTTTTGTTGTCTTGAGAAATGTTCTACATGTTCAAATTAAAACATGTTGCTTTGTAACTTGGCTGTTTCACATTGTGTCTCATTTCCAGGCTACGTACGCTTTTTAAATTGCTCACTTTCAAATACCTAGCGTGTATTTATTTAATCTTTTCAGCTCGTACATCCACAGGCTTCTGTACTCTCAAGGTTGTTTTGTGTCTTCCATGGAGGCTGACTGTTGATATGAAATAGTATTTGCATCTATCGGTTGTGTGTCTCTGATGACCAGACTTGAGTGCTTCATGCAGCTTGTGTATTTTTTATATAAAATTACAATTGTGCCCAATTATTGTAGCTGTGATCCTGCCGACTACTGGTGAAGCCCCTAAACAGCAACTACTGAAAGAGGAAAATCAGAGAAGCTCAAGAGAATTTGATACGGAACATGAAGGTAATATTACTAGCTTGTTCTGTTGGATACTGTGAGAGTCTTAGTTGAAAAATATTTTTGGTGTAAACAAGATGTTTAACATTTATCCAAAGCTGGAAAACATATAATTGTTGCCCAACTTAGTCTCAGTCAGAGAGAAGGTGTTGTTTTCTTCTTTAGTGTTTGTATTTCATCAGTATTTTTCTGTTTTGTTTCAATTCTATTTCCAATTTTTAGTGCTGCATGGCATGCTGGCAATACTGTCTGCTTTTCACAATGATTTGAATTTGGTTGAAATAGAGTCGAAAGAGGAGCCTATGATATTTTAACATATATTTATTAGCTTTCCCTTTTCCCAGAGATTTTGTACACTCTACAGTCTGCATTAAACAAAAGAACATTTGTGTTTAGGGCAGAGTTGTAAGCTAGTAACATTAAACTGTGCATCGTTGTTGGCTGCGTCTGCTCTCTTAGCTCCATGCTGGTGTTTTATTTGGGTCAGTAAACTCATCTCTGTAAGATTGTGAGGTTCATGTTGTGTTTAGTCCTAGGCGAGAAGACTGTTAAACAAGCTGCTCAGAGTGAAGAGACCAAAATCCAGGCACAAGGTAGCTCCTGACTCGTGTTTCCACATCAAACTTTGCTGCCACGTTTATGTCAGTTTGTTTTTGAGCGATATGGGGATGTCTTGTATGCCGGGATGGCAGGGACATATTGAGTCACTGCTTTACAGTTCTGTGTTTTGTTACAATTAGAGCTGCGTGTCAGCTGGCCTCTGTCTATGTCATGTTCCACGGTGTGAAAGGTGTGTTCATAGTGATGTGCTGTGTCAGTCTTCTGCTACAGATAGCCTTTTGTATGTAGGCCTTAAAGCTTTCTGTGTTGTAATGTAGCACAAAATTTGTGAAACTTTATGAGCATTCACTCCTCCTGGATGAGGATATGATGATAGTGTGTTGTTGACTTTACAAGAATACCTCATACTGCGCATGCATGTAGTGACAATGGAGAGGAAAACTCCCCATTAAACCTCCAGCAGAATCTGCCTCAGTACTGGCGGCCATCTACCACGATCGACTGGGCTTTTGAGAAGATAGAGCAGTATACACAAGAACACCCAGAAGAACTAATTTAGGAGTACTTTCTATGTTAATGAATAGTAACATTTTAATAACAAGGGTGGAAAGATGTTTCGTTGTTGGCAGCATTATCTGAGACGATGCCCCCCTGCTGGATAACCTAACCACATAGCTATAAGTGAAGTCAGAGCCCTGGAGAACTGCTTTTCTTAATACCATTTGTTTTTGCTAGATCTTGATTGATCTGCTTGAACCCCTCACTTGTTTTCGTCAACATTGAAACACTTGCTTGAAAATGTAAAAAGTGGTACATATACTACGTTATCCCACTCCCCATCACATTCTTTTTTTGTATCTAATACTCTTCTCCTAAAGCATGATTTTGCTTCCTTTGACATGTTAAAAACACACTTTCGTTGCTTTCATTTGAATGCATACATCTGAAATAACATAGAATGTGTAGTACTGACACTTAGTGATCTAAACGGGTACTGCCGTTCTCATGTCGACCCTAAAGAGATGAAGTTATGGGTGGGTGGAGTGCTTTTTCATCATTGTGTTTTCTACTTAGTTGTTTATGCGGATTGTCTGTGGGGTCTTTTGCATAGCCCATGAAGGTCAAGTCTGCTTGATGGACAAAGGTTTATTGTTTGTACATGCCTGTATTTAAAAACTGTTGTTTTCTTGAGATGTGATCTTCGTAAGACGTCTAATGAAAAAGACTGGTTTGTTAGCATATGTCTCATGTTTTCAAAACATCAAACTCAATACTTGATGTAAATCATTGATTCCTCAGTTCAAGTCGTATGCATTAAAGATCTGGAAAGCTGTGTATCAGAGGAGGGAGCAAGCATCACTCTGCACTGTGAGCTTTCTAAAACCGGAGTCCCTGTACAGTGGAAGAAAGGACCTGAAGTCTTGAGTCGTGGAGAAAAGTACCAGTTGAAGCAAACTGGATTACGTTACGAGCTACAGATCTTTGATTTGACTCCTCAAGACACAGGAACCTATTCGTGCTGCTCAGAAGACATATTAAGCTCTGCATCTCTTGTAGTGAATGGTACGGTGAAGACCATCTTGTTTACCACCCATCAAGTCTGTCCTGTCACATCCGTATTCATTTCTCCTTCCACCAATTTACTTTATTTCTTTTTTTTTACTTTTAAAATAACCACCTATCATTCTTATTGTTCTTCAGCCTCTCCGGTGTTTTTCACACGCGAGTTGGAAAGTCAGACTGTGGAAGAGGGCCAGAGTGCCACATTACGGTGTGAGCTTTCCAAGTTAGGTGTTTCTTTGGAGTGGAGGAAAGGAGAACTTGGCCTTTGCCCTTGTGGAAAATATGAAATTAGACAAACAGAGAATCTGGCTTTGCTAATAATCCATGATGTAGAACCAGAGGACTCTGGAAGTTACACGTGTGACACTGATGAACATCAAAGTACCGCAAAGCTATCTGTGAAGGGTATGTTTACAACCTACTGTTTGTATCCAAATAGCTTGAGTGGGCTCTTCCTTTGTCTCTGAAAGATTGAGTCAATCAGGATCTAAGCTCAAGATCCAAACTTTTGTGACGCATTGTCTGTGGTGCTTACTTTTTACTTTACTTTACTTTTCTTTAGATCCTTGCAAAAGTATTTACATCCTGTTATTTGATAGACCAGGGATCAGACTGGTTATGGGATAGAACACTAAAATACGCAGAAGTTTGTGGTTCTAAGTTGACAAAATGGGAAAGATGTATGGTTGAATACTTTCACAATGCATTGATAGTGACTTTAAGGAGTGATGAAATAAAAATTGTACTTGTGCTCTTATTTCTTCTTAATGTTCATAATTTCTTCAATTTCCCACAGCCAAACCTGTCCTTTTCAAAACTAAGCTACAAAACCTGGAAAGACAGGAAGGGGAGTCTGTTAGCTTTTGCTGTGAGATCACCAAAGTTGGAGCCAGTGTGGTCTGGAGGTGTGGTGACAAGGTGCTGACAGCCAGTAGCAAATACCAACTGAAGCAGGAAGGGACTGTGGTCCAGCTTGTTATCTATAAACTGCAGCTAAGCGATGCAGGAGAATACTCCTGTGATACAGGCTTCCAGAAGACTTCAGCAACCCTTAATGTTAATGGTAGGATTTCTTTTCATGCATCACCCTGACAACCACCTTTTACATCCCCTATCATGTTGTTTTGTTTGGAATTTCCTCTCTAAAAAAAAGTTATCTTTTGAGACCTTTTCTTCAATGCACGTTAATTTTTCAAATTAGGTTTTATTCTTGCACATTTCCTAACAACTCCTCCAGCTCTTCACACAATTTGACATTGAACTGGAACACTTATCACTTTTTCTGGTGCCCCATCCTTCCTAAGCATTAACACACCAGAGTGCTGTTTTTCTTCACTTGATGATTTCAATAACAGCTAAGCTGAAATCTTTAAAGTTTAATTGCAATCTGCAGTTTCAACTTTTCAATATCTGTGTGCTGCTGCAATGTCTCTGCAGCCGCTGAGGTTCTGATTTTGAAGTTCTTGGAGAGCTGCGTTGTTCACGAGGGGGAAGATGTCCACTTTGAGTGTCAGCTTTCTCATGAGGAGGCTCCGCAGATACAGTGGAAACTCCAGGATGTCCCTCTGCAAAATAACGAGATGAATCTGATAAGGTCTGAGGGCCGAGTGCACAGCCTCACACTTAGAGGTGTCACAGCCTCTGACTCTGGAACAGTCACTTTCACTGTAGGAAACCACACCTCCACTGCTTCTCTCACAGTCAGAGGTAAGAAAGGCAGAAATATTTTTAAGCCATTTCCTTCATCATTATCATTTGGACCTTTCTCCAGTGTTCTCCATCTTTGTCATTGTGGGAGATATTGTTGATGAATTACTACAAGAGCTCTTCAACCTGATAGCCAATTCTTTTTCTTTAATATCTCCTTCTTTTTCATATTCCTGAAATTTTCACTCTTTCGCATGGATTCTCCTAGTATCTCCGCAGTTATTGACAAAATGATTATGCAGTGGACATTTTAAACTGTTTTTAGCATCCAGGTTGTTTAGTGAGGATAGCATTATTAAGAAAAGTCTCTAACTGTGGCCTCTTGCTGAGTGACCAAAACCTTACCTCACCTGTCAGATGTCTAAAGATTTGCCAGAATTTTCTAAATCGCATTGTTGCACAACTGAGATAATTGAACTTTTCAAAATGGAAAAAATTGAGAAACTTCCTTTTTTCACATAATTTTAGTCTCCTGTCAACAGCTTCAGCACTGACGAGTGGTGTTGTGACAAGCTGCTAGTGCTAACATATGCTCCATTCACCAACCTGCAAAAGGAGGGATTTTTCATTTCTGATAACCAGTCGTGTCCCATGAAATGTAAAGTGGTCAATTTCAAAACCACAGTTGATTTTGAACTGGATCAACAGCCGGGGCTAAATACAGGCTCATATGTTAACAGTGTGATGATCCTGTGTTCATCAGAACATTCTTGAACTAACACCTGTTAAAATTATGTTGAATGTCTACATTTCCATTTTGTATGAAATGTACTCTCATGATAAATAAAGCATTTGGACTATGTCTTTATATTTTAGCTTCTTTTTATTTTTATTCAAAGACCAGGTTCACCAGTTTATGGTTCCCTTCTAAAACAACCAAGTTTTGTTTTCTGAGACCTCTTTTCATGTTCTGTCTTAGTGTGTTGTTATGTTATGTCATCTTCTATGTTATGCATGTTGTTTGTTGCTTTTTGGTACAGTCATATTATACATATTATACATATGGTATAATATGTATACGTGGTGTGTAACATGGAGGCCATATTCACCTTCTAAAACTTAAAAAAGCCTTATTATAATACTCATCTTCTTTAACTGGTCTTTCTGGCAGTGCCACCAGTATCCTTTAAAAAGGAGCTGGAAAGCCAAGAGGCCAGAGAGGGAGGAGAGACAACACTGTCCTGCGAGACATCAAGCCCTGACTGTAAGGTGACCTGGTGGAAGGGCTCAACTGTCCTCTCTCAGGGAGAGAAGTACACCATTCAACAGAGAGCTACCACTCACAGCCTGGTGATACACAAGCTGGTCAAGGAGGACAGTGGTGAATACACATGTGATACAGGAGACAAGAAAAGTACCGCTAGGCTGACTATTAAAGGTAACTGCTTCTGCACCTCTCATAGAAAAAAACAGAGTTTTCACAGTCTGTGAAACAACTTCACCTCATTATTTGCCATTTTACAGAGTTAGTATGTACAGGAGGGTCCTTTCAGGTTATTTCAATGTAAAACGGGGACCTTGTGTACTTAGTGCTAAACTAACATTTAGATGGATTGAAGAATGCAAAGTTTTAAAATGATTTACCATGGTGTCAGTTTTATATCTTAAAAACTAAAAGTGATGCTCTGTGAAAAATCCGTTTGACCTCACTTTTCACTTCACATTCACTCTCAGAGCATGTTCGCATTGTTCGTGAGCTCCATGATGTTACCGTGACCACCGGTCAGGACGCCGTCTTTGAGGTCGAGCTGTCACATGTAGGCGTCACTCATGGGGAATGGTGGCTCGGAGACAACCTCCTTCAAAATAACGATCTGAATCAAATGAGCGTTCATGGCAGAGTTCACCGACTGGCTCTGAAGATGGTAACCACAGATGAGTCAGGTGATGTTGCCTTTGTCGTTGGTGAGGAGAAGAGTGTCGCTTGTCTTCTGGTCGAGGAGAAACCCAAAGGTAAAACAGATGACATTTTATCTCTAGCGTTTTATTGCCCAGAAACATCTTCATCAACAATTAAACAGATTTTTTTTTTCATTTTAGTGCTTTTCATTATCATTAGCATTACCGCTCACAATAATTATTCATTTTATAAAAAGTAATGTCAGCAAAGCACAGAAAATACATAACTTAAAGCTAATGCTATGCAAGTCAAAGTTAGAACAAGAACTCTAAAAAAAAAAAAGACATATCACTGCAAATGAACTTTATGTTTCCTATATTTACAGTGGTAATATTAGAGAAACCTCATAATGCTGCAGCAGTAGAGGGAGAAACCGTCACATTCAGTTGCTCCATCTCCGACTCCAATGCCTCTCTCACGTGGATGAGGAACAATGTGCCAATCCAAGCTGGTATAAAGTATGACCTGAAGAAGAACGGTGCATTGCATCAGCTCCGAATTCACAACCTGGTCCCAGAGGATTCAGGAATATACATCTGTGATACTGGAGATGCACAGTGTGAAGTTACTTTAACAGTGCAAGGTGAAAAAAGAATGTTTCCTGTCTAAACTGTAAACTGGAGTGAACAACATACCCACCCTAGCATTTTTAATCTTTGTGCAAGTTTCTGTCAACTTCTCCGATTGACGTTATACTCAATTAACCCGCTAGGTGCCCCAGTGTTCTTCAAGAAAGAGCTCAAGAGCCAGAACGCCATAGAGGGTGATGATATCACCCTACAGTGTGAGGTGTCTAAGCCAGGTGTCCGTGTTGAGTGGAGGAAAGGAGGTATTGTCCTCCAACCTGGTAAGAAGTATGAAATGAAGCAGGAGGGGCGCATTCAAGAGCTCTGTATTCATAGCCTGGAACCTGAAGACAGTGGTTACTACACCTGTGATGCAGGAGAGCAGCTCACTACAGCTTCTTTGGCAGTGCAAGGTAGCCTCCATGTTGTCCCTTCTACATTACGTCTGTCTTGATTGTTTACTCTCTGTCTGCTGAATTGTTTTGTTTTGTCAGTCAAACTGATGCAATGCTTGATAATGAATTTGTTTAAAACTTAGTGTATGCATGTGTGTGTATTGTTCACTCAACAGTGAAAGAAGTCTTCATTGTTACTGGTCTTAAGACCACTGACGTCTTTGTTGGGGAATGGGCAACGTTCTCCTGCCAGCTTTCTGGTAGGGCATCTGGTAAGGTGCAGTGGTGGCTGGATGGCAACTTGCTGGAGAACAGCCCCTGTATTGATATAGGGGTGGAACAGGGCTTTATCCACACACTCACCTTTAAGAACCTGGCTACAGATGACTCAGGCACTGTCACCTTCAAAACGGGCAACTTAACCTCATCAGCCAAGCTCTTAGTCAAAGGTATTCTGTTTAACGATCTCAGTCATGCAGAATTTTAAACAAGAATATTTCTGACTTGCATTATGTATGGAGTTCTAAAAGTGCCAAATCAAGAACCAATTATTTAAATGCGTCATTCAACATTTAGAACTGGAATCAAATGGATATTATTTTGTGTGACTAAAATTTACTATTTTAGCATTTATTTAGTTATTCCATTGTTGTATGCTGCATTGCAGCATTTTTGTCAGTGGGCGGGGCTAAAACTCCCTTGTTTTTTTTGTACCAGGCAGTAGAGACAGACTATATAAGTAATTTTCTATCAATGTTTTTGACAGTCACACTCTGAAAGATATACAGCTGACACTGAGCAGGGAGAACAGCTAGTGCTCTAGCACAAAGCTTATCGTGCTACTTATTGTTGCAAATCCCAACCCTGGTTTGTACAAGTTTTGAAGCACTTTACGCACCACCCTCAGAATCCATGGATTTCTTATTTCCAAAATGAAGCTTGCTATATGGTGAATATTGAACATAGTTTTAAAATATGACTTTCTAGTGTGTTTAATAAATGTAGCATTTATCTCATGCATTAATACATTTTTGACATTTAAGTTATTGTAGATGCCTTTATTTATCTATTAAACAACTCCAGACATAGTAGACTAAGACTTATATAAATCAATATTGAGGTTACATTTGATAAGTTGTTTAACATTTAATTATTTAATGTATGTGTCGAACAATTTTTGGACACAAAAATACAAAATATTTATACTTTCATATGTATATGTATATATTTTTTTCTTTAATTTAAATTTTGACATTTAAATATTTATTTAAAATTTCTGCATTGCGGCACTTTTAGGACTTCACATTTTAACTTGGTGTCAAGTTTTAGAAAAAACAATTGGAAATATTTATTCAAAAACATTTGAATAAATATTCGTAAATTACTAGTGAATTTTGCTAATCATGCATGAGCCAGATTGTTTTACATTCTATTAATAATACAGTTTAGAGTTTCATGCTGTATGGTTTGATATTACCAAAGCATAGAACTGGGTGCAGCACCACACCAGAGGAGTAAAAAATACTGTTCAGACTACTTCCACAGCAATTTGATAGGTCCTGAAAAACCATATTGCAAATAAACGTTTGCTTTACATTTGTATTTTGTTTTGGATAAGTGATGTATCTTGGGCTGCTGAAATTGCAAACTGATAATCACGATTGTGAATATGATTTTTCAGAATACAACTACATTATTTCCATTAATCACCCACCAGTGCCACACATTTGTATTAATTAAAAAATGCAAAATCGATTTGATTGAGTCAAACATATTTCATCCAGACATGATCAGAATTTTATGGCCAATTTTTGATCTCCAGTTTTTGTAAAACTTTGAGCTGCCAATTTCATCTTCATCTAATTTGAATTACCCTTTAAGAACTTTAAGTGGTGTAAGAACTGTGTATTGGAATTATTTTCTTCTAGCTATCCTCTCATGAGAAGTCAATATTATTCACAAAGGTGATTGTAATTTACTTGTTGAACTGATATCTTTATTTTGTTGCTAATTAATGTAATGTTATTTCTTCCTTTGAAGGAATCTCTTTACCAATTTTGTTGTAAAACAGTGGATGAAAAGTTTTTAGAGTAATAATCTGATTGGTATGCAAAAATAAACAACTGGAATCCAGGGGGGATTCCAGTTGTTAAGAGTTGTTATCTGTCTTACTGATTTCTGTAGTAAGACAGAAAACAGGCAATCGTGATTATTATAAAGTTAGCGGTGCAGCCCAAACTCTATGAACTTCTAAACAGTGAGCGATATCTGTTTGCTGTTTAGATCCAGCAAATTACTTCTTAATGTGGTATGTTTGAATTACATTTTGAACTTCAGGTGAGAACAGAGCAAAAAAAGTGCTGCTCCACCCATCCAGACTGGCTAGATGCTCTCATTCACATACCCTGTCCTTTCACTGCCCCTAACACTAAAACCTCTAACTCTCCTGCAACTCCCATGAGTTCAGCATTGGCACTCTGTCCATTTGTGACCCCCTTTCTTTCTTCTCTGCTGCCAGCACTGTTGGACTTCTTAATCCCCATCTGTATATACAGCATATTTACTTAAGTGCATTAGTGGAACAAAAGCAAAACCAAAAAATCTTGGAAAATATAATAACATAAGAACTTGTTTTGGGGGATTACAAAGCTCTTACATCATTTGGCATGCCCCAGTCATATCATTTATGGCTAAGTCCTGACAATATCACCTCCCTTCAACTCCCCACAAAACCCCTCACCCTGACCACAGATCCCTCGGTTGAGGTGGTGAACGATATGGAGGACCTTTGGGTGGTTGAAAACCAACCGGCTGAGTTCATCTGCCAGTTCTCCAGGCCAGTCAAAGCTCAGTGGAGGAAAGATGGGCAGCTTTTGCAGCCTGATGGCCGAAGGGTGGTAGTGGAGCAGGACTGGACTGTTGCGCGCTTGTACATTAACCGTGTTTCCGGTGCCGACACGGGAACATATTCCTGTGAGGCAGAGGGTACCTCTGTGGTCGCTTCACTTCATGTGGAAGGTGAGCTTCCCTCCACATAGAAAGGGCAACAGCCTTTAAAAAAAATCTCCTCGTCTTGGTCGAACTCCTAAGCAAATCTTTTGCCGCTTTTAAAAAATGTATTCCCTTTTCAACAAAAGCTTTATGTATTTGAATTTTACAGCATTGTTGGTTAAAAATATATTTTAAGAGTCTTCTTTTGTTAATGTTATATCTTTTGTCTTTCCACTTCTCTAGGCAAACCCATTAACATTGTCCAAGGCCTGGAAAATGTGGAAACATTTGATGGGGGCGAAGCGTTGTTCGAGTGTGCCCTTTCTCGCCCTGAGAGCAAAGACTGTCACTGGCTTCTTGATGGAAAACCAGTGAAAGAATCTCCTAAAGCAGAGATTGTGTCTTTTGAAAGTGGTCGACGTCATCTGCTGCTCCTGAAAGATCTGCACGACAAAGACAGTTGCACAGTAACATTTAAAGCCGGAACAGCTTCCACCTCTGCCCAGCTCACTGTCAAAGGTGAGCCTTCCAGTTTGCTTAAATTGTCGATCTCTAGACAGGCTGAAAAAGTCTGCAATTTAATTTCAGTGTTTTACAAAATGTATTGTTTGGCATATCTATCCAGTCTTTATCCTTCTTCTTTCCCTTCTATCTTACTATGTTAATGTTATTCGATCTTTTTTTCCCTTGTGCCATCACTTATTTTCCTCATTGTGTCTTTCCTCTGTCCTTCGATACTTATGGTTCCTTCGTTCTTTCCTTTGTTTATTCCATCTTTCCTTCCGTCTTTCCTGAATTAATAAAAGAACTTAGAACTCTGGAATTGAGTCTGCAAAACTGTAATTTTTACATAAATAATACATGTACTATGTGTGAATAAGTTTACATGAATAGACCTGTCTGCATCGTAAACTTTAATCACCAAGATTTTCAGCATCACTTTGTGTTTTTATTTCTATTTTAAGGCTGGAAACTGGAGATCGTGCAGGGTTTGGAGGACAAAGTGGCCGCTGTAGGAGAGAAGGTTGAGTTTTGTGTTAAGCTTACTGAGCCTGTTCCTGCAGCAGATGTGACCTGGTACGCTAATGGAGTTGAACTCAAACCCAGCGACCTCTGGGCCATGAGGTTTGACGGCAGTTCTTATCGCCTTGTCCTGAGACAGGCCCCACTCATGCCCCAACAAGAAATTACCTTTGCAGCTAGGGATGCACTTTCTTTGGCCAAGCTTACCATCATCAGTAAGACTTTAATATACTAGAAGCAATGAATCTGTAGATTTTTTGGGGGGGGGCTGTGTGTGTTTTCAACCTTTTGTGTATCACTCCAACAGCTGTACCTGACCCCCCAGAGGATCCAGAAGTCCTCCGTAAAACCACAGAGTCTGTCGCTCTCTCCTGGTTTACTCCCCTTCATGATGGAGGGAGTCCCATCATTGGCTACAGAGTGGAGATGCGACTTGTAGACAGCGCCCTCTGGCTTCCATGTCATTCTGAGCCCGTTTGCAACACAGAATTTGTTGTGGAAAAACTGGTGCCTGGGAGTGGCTACAGGTTCAGAGTGGCAGCAATTAACAAAGCTGGGCCTGGAGAGCCTGTTGAGCTCCCTCTGACAGTGCAGCTTGGTGAGTGGACAAATACATTTGGCTAAAATATTACTACACACTCAATTATTAGACATAGCTATTTGCTTATTGCTTCTAAATAACTGTTTTGCATGGCATGAAAATTTATGCTGTAATCTCAAAAAATACATTGTGATGTTGTCATTATAACAAATGAGATATTGAGGATAAGATCATTTTAACCATTAAATCAAATGTTGGTGTACTCTAACCATATTGGGGTCATTTCTTCAGATGTACAACAGACAAAAGTAATGGAACAGCCGAGTCTACCTCCGGAGTCTGCTGAGGAAGGGGAACTCCATGATCTGTGGGACGCATCAGCAAAGAAACGTCGCATGAGCAGAGAGCCCACTCTGGACTCCATCTCAGAGCAGCCTGAGGACAGCAGCAAAGGTGGCCAAAAACAGCAGAAAGAGTCTGTGTCATCAGAAAAAGTAGAAGTCACAACAGCGGAGAAAGAGCAGGTCGTTGTGTCCAAGAAACAGACAGAATCCGTTCAGTCCATCAGCTCTGAGGATGAGACTGTTACTGGCGGCTCTTCGCTTGTTTCTTACCTGAAAAAGAGCAGCAAGACTGAAGCAACAGCAACCAGTGAGGCAGAGACTCTGACAGCAGAGAAGTTCTTTGCTCATTTCCAAATGGTAGAGCAGAAAACAGTGCAGCAGACTGAATCAAAAACAACAATAATCCAAAAAACTGATGAAAAGCACCTGTCTACTCAGGAGACCAGTATCATGGAGATCACAAAAGAGGAGGAGCCTGAGCTGACAGATGCTGCCATCAAGATTCAAGCTGCCTTTAAGGGTTACAAGGCTCGCAAGGACATGCGTCCCGTCTTTAAGGAGGTCTTTAAAGACCAAACCAAAGAACCTAATGACACCATACATCTCGAATGTGTGTCAGAAGGTAAACCAGAAAAGGTGCGCTGGCTGAAGGACGGTGAACCGCTGATGGACGGCAAACATCATCATATTGATATCTACAATGACGGCACCTGCGCCCTGGTCATCACTGCCATCACCACAAAAGACACGGGGGTTTACACCTGTGAGGTCACCAACAAGTTTGGAGTGACGTCTCACAGCGCTAAGGTGACAGTGGGAACGGTGAGGGAGTCATCAGGCCGTCGACCCCTGACAATAGGTTACAGTGCCGACAGTGAGCCCGAGAGCTCTTCTGGTAGTGAGATGGATGAGTCGCTGAGACAGGCGAGCAGACGCCTGAGGCGCCTTCTTCGCACACGACTCCCACCCGACGTTGAGGAGGAACCATTTATCAGCGCAGATGAGGGCGACTTGCGTCCCCCGGATCCTCACTCTTACCGGGAGGATGACAATTACATCTACATTCGCTTTGATTCCCAATCAGAGGCTGAGATCGCCTCTAAAAGATTCCAGGAGATGTTCACAGTCCACGGCGTACCCGTAGAGACCGCCATCGTAGCAGCGGGGACTCACAAAGTAGAGCTGCGAATTAGAAAGATGGGCTACATTCAGGATGGCACACAGACCCCAACACAGGATCGACAGCCTCCTGCTTTATTGACTGGAGCTCCAGGTAAGCATTACGGGTACGACTGTGGAGTTCACACTTTTTGAACAATTTCACATTCAAATTTGCCATTTTTCAGCGTCCTATTTTTCACAGTGAGACAAAAAGTCTAAACTATGTAAAGCTCTTCTTCCACATCTGATATTTGTGCTGCTGGGTGTTTATGTTTTAGATAAAAATTTGAACATGGAGGTTTGTGGTTGTTAAATGACAAAATGTAGAAAAAAAAATGAATACTTCAGGTTGATAATTATGCCAAGTGCATTTTCAGCCTAGGAGTCCATGTTCTTTCATTTATTGGTCCAGTTGTTCTTGTTGCCCAGCTGCTCCAGTGTTCCTGACGGAGCTACAGAGTCAGGATGTTCCTGACGGCTATCCAGTCAGCTTTGACTGCGTTGTGATTGGCAAGCCCCCTCCCACTGTTCGCTGGTATAAGGATGGCAAGCTGCTGGAGGAAAATGACCATTACATGATCAATGAGGACCAAGAGGGCTGCCACCAGCTCATCATCACCTCCGTCTTGCCCACTGACATGGGCGTTTATCGCTGCACAGCCGAAAACAGCAGTGGGATTGCCGCCACTAAAGCTGAACTTAGAGTTGACAGTGAGTAGAAGTGAATAAACGAATATGAAAATGAAGCAAACATTTTCATTTTCCAAAAAACAAACAAAACAAAAGCCTTTTCAACAAACATTGTTGAATAAGATATATTATTATCTCTATTAGTGTCGTGCAGCTCAGATTATGACACTGCTGCAGATGCCACAGAGACCTCGTCGTATGTCAGTGCTAAAGGTTATGTGTCCAGGTAAGCACAAGTGTTTTATGATAAATTAATTAGAATATTTGACATTCACCCTCTCAGTTCTCATGCTGACTTTTGTTACTGTGCCGCATGCTTTCCTCCAGTAGGGAAACTGAAACATTTGAATCCGTAAGTGAAGACGATCAGCTACCACAGGTTGTGCATGAACTTCACGATGTTCATGTCAGTCCAGGTTCGCCTATTGCTAAATTGCAACTCAAAGTAAAAGGTGAGCCCACCAATAAACCTGAGCTGTCAAATTACAATTTGACAGCTCAAATTGTAATTTGCTACGATGGCGGTCTTTACGGGTACACAATTGCCAATAAACAATTTTGTTTATCAAAATTTAACCTTAGGAATTTTTGAGTGGAGTGGGAGTGGGGAAGTCTGTTTCTCATTTACAGTGTTTAGTGACACAAAGTTTTACGAAAGAGGTTTCTCCAAAGATGATGGCTGAAGAGATGAGCTGAATGGATGAATTTAATATAAGACCAATGAGGATGAAGAGGGCAACATGTTCTACGTATTTCTGTCTGCTAGGGTTTCCTAAACCGAGAGTGTACTGGTTCAAAGATAGCCAGCCTCTCCGACCGTCAGAGAGGATTCAGCTTTTAGCAGAGAGAGATCTTCATGCTGTGGAGATCCTTGAAGTGAAGAGAGAGGACATGGGGGAGTACTCTGCTTATATCAGCAATGCGGCTGGTTCTGCTTATTCCTCCGCCCGGCTGATAGTACTGAGTATGTATGCACAGACCTAAATAGACCTAAACTGCACATCCACCATTTTCTGTAAGGCGCAAAGCTTCGGCGTTGAGCTCAAGATCTAACCACGCATAGTAACATTTGGATTTTGAACAGGTCCTGGGGAGATTATGCCACAGGATAAAAAGGGTAAACTACTCTTCATACTATAAAATTGCAACAGGTAATTAGACTGTAAACAAGGAGCATCTCTAAACTTCCTTTGCACTAATTTTTTTTTTACAAAGATTCTAAGGAACCACTGGTGCCTCCACGCTTCATTGAGAGGTTCAGCAATAGGAAGGTGAAACAAGGAGCAAGCATCACTCTCTCTGTCAAGGTCGAAGGTCAGTTCACATCCCCCTTTTAAACTTCTTCAAACACCCTCCCCCCTTTAACTTCCCTGCAGATTTTAGCATGTTCTCCACCTATGCTCTTTTAGGGTCTCCTACTCCCATGGTCTCCTGGCTGAAGGAGAAATCATCAGAGGATGTCTTGTGGATTAAACCTGACACTAAAGGATACAAAATAGCCAGCTCTGGTCGCCAGCACAGCCTCATACTGATGGACGTAGACAAAGAGTACACTGGCGTCTACACCTGCATAGCTACAAATAGAGCAGGGCAGTCACTCTGCAATGCTCAGCTTGAGGTGGATGACAGTAAGAAAAAATTTGTGTTTTGCATTTTATCTGAAAATAAAATGATTTGTGAATATGCGGTATCTCCACAGCATAAAAGAAACAAGCAGACCTGGCTGAAGTCTGCTAAGTGTTTGTAGTTATAAACAAGTGTATACTGCTCTCCTTTTTGACAGCACCACAACTGAAGAAGAATACTGCAGCTTCGGAGTAAGTAAGCCGATAAATAGGCGTACTGCAGTTTGAATATACATGCAAATTAATTGCATCATGCTACAAATGTGACGCACATGTAAAATTTGATTAATTTTTAGGATCCTCGGGATTACAGTTAGTCCTCCACAAGAAGAGGCTGGCAGAGGAAGTGGTGAAAATAAAATAAAATACAAAGATTTATTTTGTATTTTAATCAAATATTTGTCATTTTTTTACTGCACACTAAAAAGTGTCAAGCAAAAGTATCCATACGTCTCGATTGTTTTTACATTTTGTCATGCAACACAAAATACTGCAGCATGCATGATGTTTGTTTATTCATATTTGTCTTGTACTTTTGTTCATACTATTAGAGGGTAAAATACCCTACTTAGGTGAAGTTGGCACAGAGGAATTCCTCATGAAGCTCACTTCTCAGATCACCGAAATGGTTTCAGCAAAGATCACACAAGGTAAGTATGTGACACCAGGCAGTTTTGATAAAGTATTTGGATGTTTATTTTTAATTTTAGTTTGTGTGATGTCTAGTACAAGTTCACTCTCTGCTAGCGTAGAATGTAAGCAACGAAATAAAACAGAATGTGCAATTAGGTAGACATAGCTTTGCATGTACACCTGTTATGAAATTGTGGTGTGCTGTTTTATCACATGTCCAGCATTTTAATTTATTGTCACCATGCTTGCAACAAGCTTCCAGGAGGAATGTTGGCAGAGTGCTATGACTCCTAAAATATCTACTGCCCTATTCAGAATTGGATTTTTTTTTTCTTGAGACATTATTCAGGAGGAAAATCATGTAACTGCAAAATGTTCCAGTTTTCTCTGTGCATAGAAAAACACCATCTGATGTTTGCATGCCTCTCCTCCTCCTGCTGTTACTTGCAAATCGCTTTACTTGCAAATCCAGTCAGGTTTGGTGGATTTCACTCATTTTGCTCTGCCAATCCATACATTTTGTGGAAATTTAATGTTATATTAATGAGCTACTAAGAGGTGTGTTTTTTTTTTTTTATTTATTTAGAACTGACACCGAACCTGACAAAGGTGTTTTATTACTGTTTCACTGCATGCTTTGTTTTTTCATTAAACACATAAAAAAACTCTCTTAACTTCACACAGATCCCGTTTTCTTAACACCCATTATTTTAATCAGTTTCCCCATTTAAATGTTCACCCAATAATTAATTTGTTATTCAGACAGCTTACAGAATCACGACGTGCTCCAGTGGATGAAATCTTGGCCCAAATCTGCCAGTATGTATACCAAATGCATCAGCATCACAACTGTGCGACAAATTTTCTTTCTCTTTAAGAAATATTTATATCATTAGATGAATTTAAGGAAGTTTTTGTTCCCTTCACAAACAAAAGCACAGCTGCTACATGGATTTCTTCTTCTTTTTTTTTTTTTACATTTAATAGCTGAAATCTTACTAAATGCTTTCATATATTCAAACAAGATTTATTGTCTCTGTCAGCTTACAGCTGGGGTACAAACTCATTGACAGGCATGTATGTATCTGCATGTTGCCACTAACGCAGTAGAAATGCATTGTTTGGCAAAAGAAGAAATTGTTTCCTGTTGATCTTTTTTCAGAATTTCAGCTTCAACAAAGTAGTCATTACTTAAAACATCACCGGGGTCTTATCACTACGATATCATCACAACCAATTTCTCATCGTCTACTCTGACAATGAGTGACCGGTAAAACTGTCAAGTTGAACTGACTGCAAGTTTTATTAAACTTATTAAGCTAAGTGTTAAGAACTGGCACAAGTGTTAAAGTCAGCAAATTCTGTTTTAGGCAAGACTTTATAATATGACTCCCTTGACAAAATGTGTTTTACTACAGAACTTTAGTCATTTTGAAACAATAGAAAACCCTGAGAGGACATGCCGTGCACATTTCCCCATTTTCTCAAACATCTTTCTTAACCTTGTCGTTCAAGCTTCACTGCGAGTGCCAGGTGTGGACAGTGATGATGAGACCAAAACTCCTTCTCCATCTCCCCATCATGGTCGCTCTCGTCCACCTTCCCTCATCGCAGATTCCTCCTCAGAGTCAGATGAAGGAGATGCCAGAGGAGAGGTACAAGCTGTGGAATTGAGTTGTTTGTTGTGTTAGAGGAGCTTACAAAAACATTTCATTTTCGCAATTAGTATTGGGGGAACCCACCTTCAAACAAAGTTACATTTTGAGAATAAAACTACAAGTTATTAGATATATATATACACGTCGACGACTAATCTGACACAAGCAGTAATAATTAGAGATGCACCAATCAGAATTTTTCAATAATATCTGATCTGTGGTTTTACGAAGCTGATTTTTGCAGATTTCGATTTGTCTTCAAGAAGTTTAAATGATAGCATTCAAAATGGATTGATCTGTGAGCAAGCAGCCACTGTAAACATTTTATTGAAAATGTTTCGAAAACTTGAAAGGAAAAAAAAAAAAAAGACTTCTCTGCAACACATTACAGATCGTTTTCATTAACAACAGAAACAAATAGGCAGAAGATTGAAGCAAGTATTAATTTGCAATGGGAGAAGTTTGAACTTGGAATGAAAATGGAAAAATAAGATTGAGCAACTAAGTCATATTTCATTGATTTGCATCACTGATGAGAGACCATCTGCCTTGTCATATTTTCATAGATGTTTGACATTTATGTGGCATCTGCGGACTACAATCCCACCTTTGCAAGCAAAGACTCCATCTCTCTCAAAGAGGGACAGTATGTGGAGGTCTTGGACTCAGCTCATCCTCTTAAATGGTTGGTCCGGACCAAACCCACCAAAACTACACCATCACGACAAGGCTGGGTGTCACCGGCCTACTTGGACAAAAAACTTAAAGTATGTCTTCAGATCAACATATTTGGATGATTTTTTTTTTTTTAAATCTTGTTATTCTCTGCAGCAGTTTAGCTTGTTGATGACTTCGTATTTATAAATGTTTGTCCCAGCTCTCAGCGGATGCAGGAGATCTTCCAGAAACAAGCGTAGAAGAGGTTTCTGAAGGAGAATACAAGCGGAAGTTATTGTAAATGAAGCACAATCTAAAGTCACACTAAAACCGTGAAACTAAAGACACTCTGACGAAATGTCATTTAATTCAAACAGCCAGCTGATGCAGGACCTGATAAACGGAGAATCCGAGTTTGTCAAGGAGGTGGAATTCTTCACTTCTCACCACATGAAGCACGCCGACAGCCCGGATGCTCCACCTGATGTCTGCAGCCAGAAAGAGACCATCTTCAGAAATGTTGATGACATCAAGTCCTTCCACAGCAAGTAAGACCACCTCTTAATTACCAGCAATATCTGTTAGACCTTAAAAAGGACCGCATCAGACATATGCGTTTTATTCATAAACCTTGTCTCCCGCATTTTGTTTTCTAGGACATTCCTTCCAAAGTTGCACGACTGTGACACAGATGATGATGTGGCAATGTGCTTCCTGAAAAACAAGGAAGGATTTGAACATTACCTCCAGTATCTTGTAGGACAGAGCCAAGCCGAATCTGCTGTCAGTGACAAAACTGTCCATTGTTTCTTTAAGGTACCTATTTTTAAGTGACTCCTAGATAAATAAAGTGTCTTTGAAAAATATTCAAATCTCCTAGACTTTTTTACAACCCTCAACAGTATGGGATGTATTAGCATACAATTATGAAGTGGTTTGTCATTTGTTTTAGGAATAAAAATCTATTTTATATCCAAGCTGCTTTACTCTGATATCCCTTATTGAAATCCAACCCAGCCAATAGCAGAGTTAGTTTGTGAAATAGTAAAGGAAACAAAAAACGAGGAGAGCTCAGTGCATTGAAAACAAGCAATGCAATGAATGTGTTCCTGTCATCATTAATTTAAGGTAACTAATCAGAGTTTTAAGTCTTGATATAAAGAAACTTTTGTTTCAGAGTATAAAAACTGATTAACACTTCTCCGTGTTTGGTTCTTATTCTGGAGATGAAGAGTAGACTTGACCCAGAATGTAACAGGCATCAAATACAATTTCATGCCACAATCTTCTGCTTTTTATTTGCGTGGAATTTTGAAAAACATTTATTTAGTTGCACTTGACAATTGTATACGACTTTGTGTTGGTCTGTCACAAAAAAATACCCAAACTGTTCCCCAGAAAAAATTTCACATTAAGTCATAAATTGTTTACTCTTACAGGACTACTCTGAGAAAGAGCAGGCGACTGCAAGCCCTGGGGATCCTCCAGTTCGAAGCATAAATGCCTACCTGCAGCAGCCCCTCGAGAGGATTCAGAAGTACAAGGCCTTCCTTAAGGTGACAGTTTTAACAGCCAACAAACACAGTCCTTTAAGTTTAGTACCTTCTTAATATTGTAAATGTGTATGTAGTATGTGACTCAGATGTGCAATCATCTCCCATTTTGATATCTGATTATCATTCAGCCTTTCTAAATGTCTTTGCCTGCTGTCTGCAGGATCTCATCCGAAACAAGGCAAGAAACGGCCAGAACTGCTGCCTCCTGGAAGAGGCGTACGCCATGGTGTCTGCACTCCCTCAGCGTTCAGAGAACACACACCACGTCTCCCTGATCGAGAACTATCCTGCTACCCTGGAAGTTCTTGGAGAACCAATCAGACAGGTAATACCTTCATCAGCAGCTATGCAACACAGGCCTTTGGTGGCTTTATGTGTTTGATTGTTTTTTTTGTTTTTTTTTTTACATATTTTGTCTTATTATTTCCTTGCTCAAGGGACCTTTCCAAGTGTGGGAGGGAGCGCCCGGAATTAGAACCTCCTCTAGGGGTCACCACCGCCACGTCTTCCTCTTTAGGAACTACTGTATCATTTGCAAACCCAAAAGAGACAGCAACACTGAAACACAGGCATATGTTTTTAAGAACATGATGAAGGTAAGTAATAATTTACTGTCTGTTTGATATTTTATCACAGACTCAGCATGATTCTTGTTGTACTGTTCATCTCGGTTCAGCTGAATAACATCGATGTGAACGAAACGGTGGAAGGTGACGACCGGGCCTTTGAGATCTGGCACGAACGGGAGGACTCTGTGAGAAAATACACTCTACAGGCCCGAACGGTCATCATCAAGAACTCCTGGCTGAGAGACCTCAGAGAGCTGCAGCAGCGCTACAGCATGCCTGCATGGAGTGAGAGCATTTTTATTTATTTTTTTTGATTCTCTTTAACTTTGCTCTTATTTCTCTGTTGCTTTAAATGTTAACCTTTTATGATGTAAACATTCTTCCAGGTTCACCTGATTTTGTAGAAATTTTGGCAAACTGCACAGCAGAGTTGGGTCAAACAATTAAACTCGCCTGCAAAGTTACTGGGGTGCCTAAACCTGTAGTTACCTGGTACAAAGGTAAGACGGTTGCAACATAATATGTGCTCTTTCACTTGGCTTTACAAAAGACTGTATGCATTAAATAATCTTTATAATGACTTTATTTTTTTTTAATCGGTTAATATTTAAACTCTTGGTTTTTAGATGGACGAACAGTAGAGGCAGATCCTCATCACATCATCATTGAGGACCCTGATGGCTCCTGCACGCTGATCCTAGATAACATGACTGCAGATGATTCCGGCCAGTACATGTGCTTTGCAACAAGCCCAGCAGGAAACGCAAGTACTCTTGGAAAAATCACTGTTCAAGGTGAGTGAGGATACAAAGTTGAAGACTTTATCATCCATTCCTTCATATTGCCAATTATGTTTCTACCCGCTATTCCTCCTTCCCAAAGTATGATAGGGCACTAATATCTTATATTGCACAAGTACCAGATTAAAAATATATAGCTGCCCTTTGTATATGTGCAGTCAATAGGGATTTGGCGCCCTCTGCTCTCTGCTAAAAATACTGTGTTTGAAGTGTTTTGTGCCTATGAAGATTTTGCTGTTTAATGGGAAGCAAATGAAGTATATTTTTTGACACAAACGCCTAAACATCTCATGTTCCTTCTGTGTATTTGACACAGTGCCTCCTCGTTTTGTAAATAAAATGAGAAATGCTGTCTTCGTTGCTGGTGAAGACGCTCAGTTCACTTGTGTGATACAAAGCGCCCCCAGCCCAAAAATAAGGTAGGTCTGTCTGAAGTACATCTAATGCTGCTCATTCTTGACTTTTAAAACTTGTGGTTCCTTTCAAAAAGCACTCGGAATCATTTTACTTTATCACATCTAGTCGGATTATAACCACGCACTACCTTGTATTTTATTAGAATCTTAAATGAAGGGCCAACCAAAGTAGCGTTCAACTAATTCTAACATAGAAGGAAATGTTTCAACTATTTCAAATGAACATTTATAAACTGTGGCATATATTTGAGCTTTTAATTTTACACTGTTCACTATGATGTTTATTCACAATCAGTAACACACCTCTGAGGTCTCCACACAATAGTTGTATTTATATGTTAAATTTCACACTAAATAGGGGACTTCCAGTGGTTGGCTGCGCTAGATTTAAGGACATCAGAGTAACAGGGGAAATTAGTAACACATCAAACTTTTCAGATTTTTATGTTTGAACATTTTTTTTAATAATACCGGTATTTATCATTTTCTTTTTTACTTCACATTTTTGTGCTACTTTGTGTTGTTTCATCACATGAAATTGAAAAAACATTTGAAATTTGTTGTTGTAATGTGGCAACATGTAAAAAAGCTAGAGTGTGTTAATATGTCTGAATTTAGCATATTTGTCTTTCTTTCTGTACTTGTTAAAGATGGTTCAAAGATGGCCGACTATTGACTGACCAGGAGAAGTATCAGACCTACAGCGAGGTCCGTAGTGGGGTTCTGGTTCTGGTTATTAGAAATCTGACTGAGAGAGACCTGGGACACTATGAGTGTGAGGTAAAATCAGACGACATCGCTGTTGTTCTCATGTTTAGCTTTTGCCTTGTTTTTCTGGATAGTTGAAAATTGCGTAATTGTATTTCAAATGAATGTAGTTACATTTTCCCTCTAAGGTTTATTATAAAACCTATTATAACAAGCAGAAAATTTTGCAGTTTATTAAAACTATTTTATTTATTTATTTATTTTTTGTGCAATAACAATAAGTCACTCATCCTTTTAAGTGTTTTGCCGAGAGGCTTTGCTGGATTTACAGCTTCATTGACTCCTTGTTTAGGTTTGCTGAGTCATTGGGGGTGTCTAAGGGCAGATTTGATTGTGATCCTATTTTCATTTTTACACCTAAGAATTGATTTGAAACTAGTTGCTACCAATTAGCAGTAGAAAGTCATATTTAGGATTCTAAAAATATGTCCCTGCTGTTGCCAGCTGTCAAACCGCCTGGGCAGTGCCAAGTGTGCTGCAGATTTAGTTGTTCCTTCCGCTGTGGCCCGCAGTGGAGAGCACGCCATCACCATCGAAGGTAGGGCTTTTCTATCTGTCCTTTAGTTTAACAGTTTCAGTGCCTGGATTGCTCTGAATAAGTCTAACAACAAGAGTTAGTATTTATTTTTAATATGTGATTATTTTATACACATGGTATTGCATAATAGTTTTTTTTTTTGATGTCATTTAAATGTATTTTTAAAATTCTGGTTATTCTGTTTTTGTTTTAGTTACCGAACAGGAGACTAAACTACCAAAGAAGACCATCATAATGTGAGTGTGATGAGTCTTTAACATGATGCATAAGGAATTTATTTTTGCTGCTCATGTTCTCAGTCAAAGCACATCAGAAAGTTAGTTTTGCTCTGACTTTTGTCAAAAGCTGCAAAATCTAGATAATCGTTAGAAATGTTGATAGGAGTGTGAAAATACACATACAATTCTTGGCTCATTCCTATGTGATTTTGGTTAAGGTTATTACGAGTCATCATGGAGTCGTTAAAGAGCCACACGTGGCTCTGGTGCTGCAGGATACACAACCATCCTCCAGACAATTTGTTTGTGTTTGTTTCTATGACCAAATTTGTCTTGCAAATACTTTTCACATGGGGACAAAAACATTTGAATTTGTTGGACAAGCATTGTAGTGTAGCTACAGGTTTTATGCAACTCTAGTGTTTTGTTTTTTTTTTGTTTTTTTTGTTTTTTTTTAGGATTGAACCAGATTTTAGAGCACATTTCCGTGTGTGTGCCTTTCTATAGATTGTGTAGTATTTAAAGTCTGTGTGCTAAAGGATTCTATCATATGGATGATAAAAGGAGGGGCTTTTTCCACTGGCGGGGTCCTTCAAACTGGGAAACCTGCTGCTAAGCATGACTTCTACGACTGAATAAAAAACTTTAAGTAAACTTTTATGTCTATCTACATGATGCCTATTAGAGGAAGAAGGGGTGTCAGAAGAGCAGAGGAACGATGGACAGAATGCACTAAAATCTACAGTCTGCAAAAATAAATACAAGACTCCTTGTATTATGTTTCTAAACACATTATCAAGCAATTTATAGTTCATCTAACAATGGTACACTGTCAGCAAAAACAAATCTGGATGGTGAACTACATCTACAGGGAGTTTGATTTTACAGAAGGTCTTGTGTGTATCTTTAACATTACGATGTGGCTGTTTAAAGCCTTTCAGTCTCGTGTGTTTTTGCAAATACGCCAGTACCTCTGCTCACATATTCATTCACTTTTTCCAGCGAGGAGACGATTACCACTGTTGTGAAGAACCCACGCATGAGGAGACACAGATCTCCAGGCTTGACTGTTCTTGGAGCCCACCGCTCTGAGACCTCCACCCCTGAGCCACCTGCAACCAGGCCAAGAAGGATGCCCACCCCGAGAAAGACCACCATTCCAACCCTCTATGTTACTGAGCCCGAGGGGGCTGGAGCCAGGGCAGCGGAGAGCAGGCCCAGGTGGGTTGAAGTGGAGGAGGTCATCGAGTACAAGGTCAATAAGTCTCCCAGGCTGCCCAGGAGAAGAGGAATCTCACCTGCAGGCTCCGATCGTGCAGCCACCCCCTCCAGACCTAAGCGGTCTCCCCTGGACAACTTGAATGCCAACAACTCAAACAACAAGTTGGTGGAGCAGGCGCAGGAACATCTGAAGGGAGACATCAGCAGCCAGAGCATCTCCTGGGAGGAAGATGAGCCTCAGATCGCCTCAGGCTCTGCTTCGAGAGAACCGCGTGAACTTTCATCTGTCCTAACACTTGCTGAAGACGCTGATGACCAGGATGATCAGCAAACTGTTATCTTTGAACCAGAGGATGAGGATACGGAGGAGCCTGAAGCAGTGGTTCTGAAACAAGGAGATCGTATTTTGAACCTGGAAGACTTGGAGGATTACATCCCAGGAGAAGGTGAAACCTATGGCTCCTCCGGCTCCTGTCGTGTCTCTGATGAGAAACCCTGTGAGATTTCTGTCCTTCAGAGGGAGATCGGGGGGTCCCAAGTGGGACAGCCAGTGCTTCTCAATGTGGGACGCCCTGATATTGTTCCAAGGCAGAGAAGCAGCTTCTTTGGCCGCTTCAGGGAGCATCTCTCCAACAATCTTTTCCCCTCTGCCTCCCCGCAAGGAAGCGGAGCTCGCCCCCGAACTGAGAGACAAGTCCCAATCCAAGTGAGCAACGCAAACCTAGAGGTGAAGCCCTCTTACTGCTCCGAGGTGCAGAGAGTAGAGGGCGGGCAGCAGAGCTTTAAAACCAAAGTTTCCACTCAAACCTATGGCTACACATCAGTTGGAAAGCCTGTCACTCTTCAAATTAAAGAGAAGCCCTTTCAAAGCCAGTAAACATCTTCTAATTGTTGACACAAATCCTTAGTCTTAAATGGATACATATCTGCTTGCATGGTTAAAATAATCTAACAAAAATAATATCTACTACATATAACAAACCATTCCGTCTTGAAGCAGCCAGTCAGAAAATAGTCTGATCCTCAGTTGTTTTTGTGGGATTCAGAGTTTTCTTTAGGCTAGGGAATGTGGAAACTGCAAATTGTAGGGAAACGCATGTCTCTATAGGCAAGTTTCAGTCTCATTCTGTCATTTGAACTGCTGCATGACATGCAGCATCAATTGACAAGGATATATGAAGTAACATTTTACTGTTCATGAGTTGGATGTTCGTTTTCATAGATGTGCCGTCATAAAATCATTTTATCTGCAATAGTAAATCATCCAAGCAGTGACATTTTGAACACCTCTGACTTTATTTCTGGATTGTCATTAAATGCATATTAGTGTCATATCATCAGTTTTTTTTTTTTTTTTACTTTTCAGAAACGTTTTTGTGTCACAGTGTCTTTCAGCTTTGAAACTGAAAATACTTACAATGAACAGTGAAGACTTTGACTTTCTGTACTGCTTGCTGTTGTTTAGGTTTAATCACTGGTGTGCAATTAAATTATAGACAAACTTTGGTGTAGATGTATGAATGATTCCCTGGTTTTAGATCGCTTAGTTTTTTTTTTTTTTTCAGGTACCATCGACTAAGCCTTAGTAGTTGGTACCTAAAACACGTCCATACTCTATCATTTGCTTTTCTTTTTTTTATTTACAAAGCTTCTTTGACAAATTTGGGCTTTTTGATGTTTTGCAGTTGCCCGCAAACTCACAGGGATTAACAAGGGCGTCCTTTTGTGTGTCAGTGACATATTTATGAGTGACTGCATGTATTTGCTTTGTAAACCAAACGTGTTAAGCAGAACTGTCATGTATTTACGTGAAAACGTTGAAAAACCTGAAATTCCAGGACTTCACTACTTTCTTGGAAGACGTTGCTGTGTTTGTGTTCCTATAATAAGGTGTGATCGACTGGGTATGGACTATGTATGTTATGATATTTTAGGTCTAACAGATTGTAATTGCTTGCAATGTTCATGTGGAGTTGTGGACAATAATGAGGTTGAGCACAAAGTGTTAAATAAATGTACAGAAAATCCTTAAGATTACCCGTTTCTTCTATCATTCCTTACTACTCCTTATATTAAGCCACTTATGAACCGAGTAAAATGAGACACCAGATCCCCCTTTTCCACAACACTTTCTTTTAACCTTTTAATTTGCCTAGATACAACGCTCTGAACTGCTGGCTTCTTTTTTGTGGCTTACCCTCTCTGTAGAGGATGTCAACGGACCACTGTCTTTGCCCTGACTTCCTTGATTCCCAGGTTTTTTTTTTTTTAAGTGCTTTTTCCATTTTTTCTATTTAAAGTATCTGACAAATTAAGTTCTGGGTTTTCATCAGCTTTAATAATCAAAAGTAACTGTGATAAACATTTGAAATCCTCTAAGAAATGCATATTGATTTCAGTTTTTAAATAAAATTAAACTAGGTTTTTGAGCATATGGTGCCAAGATAGACTTGTGTGACTAAACAAATAATGCACTTTGTAGCTGTAACATTTTATTGAAGTTTTAACATGTAACACATTTCAGTATTCCAGAGGATTTATTGCTGGAATTAAGAATAAGCTCAAATAGTGAACAACAATATGAGGAATACATAACTTTTGGTCAGATGAATTGATTTTTACAAAGTCCCATTAATAGTTTTACTTTGTAAGAGTTGCTGAAAAAATTAATTATGCTAGTTTACAAGTACATCATAGACGTCCTTTAAAGGGGCAGCAGTATGCATTTGTCAGGAACATTGTGATAAAAAAAAAAAAACACAATCAACTAACTACTACCTTCAGCATGTTATCCATTAAGCTTTTTAACATCATTCTTAGGAGCGTTGCACTGAGAAGTAGTTTACATGAGTTCAGCTGATGTGCAGTTCCACCAGGTGCTTGCTAATTGCTGCTGCTGCTAGTCTGAAGGAGCTTAATGAGGGATGTGTGGGTGAGGGTTGCTCTGTGAGGCAGAAACTCTGCTTAGATATTACAGCTCCGAGGAGCTTTGTGGAAAAGGCAGCGCTCTGTCCCATCAAGCGTTTTGCAAACTCGAATGTCTGCCAGAAAAGATTAGAAGATTCCTCAAACATGCATAAAATAATCAATGCAACACTCAAAACAAAATACCTGGTTTACATAATACTGCCCCTTTAATTTGATTTGCTGTGCTTTTTTTTGTTTTATGGAATATAGAAAACCTTAAACATGTCTGTTTATTTATGCCTTAAAGCCAAATGAATGTCATTTCACTATACACATAAAGCTACAATGTGAGCAAGTTACACCATATAAAAGTTTACAAAATCACACCTGTAAAATAGTCAACTTTGTATTCCCCGCTTAAAACAAAAAAAAAAAAACTGACGATGACAAAGGATCTGTTTCTCTAAGCAAGATTGGATTTAACTCACTTGAGCACAACAGAATCCAAAAAAATGAAACTTATCAAACTGTTAACGTATACAACAACAAAACAGCTTTAAAATGAATTGCTTTACCAACTCTGGAATAAAAGTAATGTTTCAAAAGTATGCCTGACTTGCATATACCTCCTGTAAACAGCCAGAGATGAATATAAATTTTAAACCCTGCCCAACCACCACCACCACATATCACAACTCTGGATTTTTCTACTTCATTACCACTAATTGACACTACCAGGTGAGCACAGTGTGTTGTCAACAACCAGCAAAACCGGTTTGTCCACCTGATGGAATGGGTCTCGCTGCTTCCCGTTTCATGCGCCACGAACAAGGCAGTCCTGACTGAAGAGGACTCCGTAACAACAGGAATTTTCCTGTTTTGTGCAAGTCAGACTTCAAGTAAGATTCACTGGAGTAGCTTTTCTTCCAAAGAATAAAAACAACAAAAAAAAAAATCTAAAATTGCTCATTAAAAATAACCCCCTTTTTTTTTTTTTTTTTTTTTTTACGAAAGTTAACTTCATCTAAATACATGTTTGTAGATTCCTTAAAATAAGCTGTCTGAGTTTCACAGACCACCATCTGAGGGAATGTACATGTCAAATGGAGGTCTGGAGTTATAGGGGAGTGGATGGATGAGGTGCCAGGCTGTGCCATCTTCTACGAAGAAGTCTTGGCTTTCTTGACTTTGTTAATTTCCTACAGAGAGAAAAATCAAGCCGATTACAAGATGCATCAAACACATAAACCCTGCATTGTTCCTGCAGTATTTACATTTCAAAATTCATATTTCAGGCTCAGATTTATAGATTTTTGTCTTTTTTTTGTTTTAAATATTAGAACATAAGACAGTTGGGTTTTATTATTGTGTATTCCAAAAATGCCATGAAAAATTGCCACAGCAGCTTCAGACTTTTTTTTTTGTATTTAGACAAACATGGATCAGTTAAGATCTAATATAGGAAAGTCTAAAATGGGTCATTCTGAATTAAATACAGATCCTGTACATCATGTATATAATTATGAGTGTTACCTTCTTTTCACAAAAGTCCAAAATATAGTAATTTCAATTATCAACCAGGTTCAAGAACCTTTGGTCCACTGAAAATCCAAAAAAAAAAAAGTGACATGGCCAGTCTTTATTTTATTTTAACTGTCAGTCACTCAAAACAAACAATGATTGACGAGTTGGACTAAAACTCAAGCGGTGATCTGCCAGACCAAAAGTAAAGATCTTAATAGTAAGCAATTAAAAAAAGGAGATTAAAATATGTATCTTTCACATAATAAAAGCTCAGTCAATCTGGCTGAGTTTGAATGACTTTACAAAGTGGGCAAAGATTTCAGTCTCCAGCTTTAAGTCTTCACTTAGACTTGCAGCTCTAAGTGAAATGTGCTTCCTGAAAGTATTGACTGAGAGGGTGTGACTACAAAGGCATGCTAAAAATCTGAAAACCATTTTGTCATTACGTGGCGTATAAAAAAAAAAAAAAGCATGTTACTTTGTGCTGCTCTACAACATCCCAGTAAAATACATTGAGGTTTGTGACTATAACATGATAAAACATGGGAAAATTCAATTGATATGTCCATAAGTTCTAACTTTAACAAAAGATTCATTTTAATTGGAATCTTTAAATCCTGATGAAATCTGTTGACTTTACAGATACAATATTCTTAGTAGACTGCAAAGCCAACCATCTCCTCTGCTCCAGTGTTAATGATCCGTGCTTGCTCTGCAGCTGTCAGCGAGTCTACGTGTTTCTACATGCCCTTATTGAGGCTTGGATGAGTGGAAACCAATTAACATCAATGCCTCCTCACCAGAGGTGTTTTCACACTTGTAAACACATGTGCTTTGCTTCGTTAATTCTTGGGTTCCAAACGACAGCAGCACCTTCTGTCTCCTCCATCAAAAGTTGAAACGGTACAGCTGACCGTCCTCACAGCTACTCTCAACTGCTGAGCAGCTTGCTGGTTAAGCTAATTTTAGCTCCTTTGATACAAATACAGCCGCAAAAGTGGCTCACCTCAAGAAGAGCTTGTTTTAAATTCTTATAAGCATCCTCCAAATTGTCATTGACAATAACGACATCAAACATGCCAGGTTCTTTACCTAAATGGGAGAGATCATAAGAGAATGTTTCATTTTAAACATACTTATGGAGCTCTACTTTAGAGGTTAGGGAATAAATGGTGACTCCTTACTGAACTCCATGTCCACGTTGGCTGCATGTAAACGCTTCTGAAGGCTCTCCTCCGACTCGGTATTCCTGTCCCTTAATCGCTTCTCCTGTAACTCCCAACAAGAGATTGATTATTAGCAGGAAAACTCACAGAACCAAACTGGCTGTACAAATTCCAATTGTGCTCACCAGGACTTCCATGGATGGCGGCTGGATGGAGATGTACATGGGATTGAGGTCTGTCTTCTTGATGTTCTTCACGCCCTGCATGTCGATGTCAAGGATACAGATGAGATTCTTGGCCTGGACGGCTTGGACGGCGGCTTTGCTTGTGCCGTACAGGTTTCCAGAAAACTCTGCGTTCTCGATAAACTCTCCGTTGTTTATGGCTGCCTGCATGGCCTCCCGCGTAACATAATGGTAATCTAAAAATCCAACACCAGAACACGGAGGGATTGGGCTTATAGAAAACAAGAAAGCATGTGGACTGCTGTTATTACAGTGAAAGCAGAGACGCATGCTGTACCTCTGCCGTTCTCTTCTCCTGGACGAGGGTTTCTTGTTGTATCTGGGAGATTAAATGATATGAGTGTTAGATACTCCAGAGCTGCAAAAAGTTTCAGTACTTACAGATGTCTTTTCTCCTTTTATACTATGCATTTATTCAGCTTTTAATAAAAATCATAACACTCATAGAGCAAATTGGAAGAGTAGAAGACATCCTAATCACAAAGAAAACCGATAAAACATAACCAAGTTTGCTGCAAATAACAGGACACAACATCTTGAAACGATGCAGATCACTAGAAGAAAAAGAAAAATTACATCTCACTTCATCACCAAAATCCTCCTGGCAACAAAAGGACACTGGGAAGTTTTTTTTTTTTTTTTTTTTGGCTTGCTCCAGCAGTTCTACATCTGCCAAGAATTGTTTTGACAAAAAAACATTGGGTTCAGTTCTAAACGTAAACATGTCCTGAAATATTTTAGCCCAAGATAAAGAGTTAATGGACAAATTTCCATTTAATGTAACAGGGGAGAGAGTAACTCCCTCTATTATATAAAAAGTAAAAGAGCAGGCGTATGTATGAAACTTATACAATATCTTACCCTTAACCTGATCCCCAAGTCTAATTAAACCCGTAGCATTACCAATACCGAACAGAGATTTACCTGCTTTATCAGCAGGTTTACTGCTATCAGGTTAGTGCTTCCCACTGTTGAGTTAATTTGCATTTTGACACAAGCTAAATTTTGCTCGTCTCCATTTAGATGCAAAGCTGTAAGTATGTGGACGTTTGATCAACTAACAGACCAATTTGGACAAGCTGTTGATTATTATATGGTTCAACTTCTGCTTCTCTTAATGGCAAAATAACACATCGAACAAAAGGGATTAATAAGATAATTTTGATACATTTTTTTTATACATTAACAACACTAGTGCACTCTTCAAAGTGCACTAAATGTTTCACACATTGCTGAATATTCATATTTTTTACAAGTATAAAGCACCCAAAAAAAAACAAAAAAACTGAAACCTAATACAACATGACAATATATGTTTATATGTCCATAAAGAAAAACAAAGTCCTTTAGTCCACTTATTTGAGTAAGTGATCAAAATCATGAACACAAAATGCCAAAAACACAAGACGGACTTTTTATTATTCAAGCCACAGCATGACACACTTACGAGAGACGCTGAAGCCAAACACATTTTCATGTTCCTTGATAAGTTTCTTCAGCAGGGTGCTTTTTCCTGCCCCGGACGGACCACTAAACACCACAGGCCTGGGTCCAGCCATAGCTGAAACAGAAGAGAAGAAAATGGCTGGAGTTATTTAAAAGAATGTTTAGGTGGGGCAGTAAGGATTTACTCATAAAAGTAAAAATTGGTCTAAATATAAAAATAAAAAATGTTTTTTTCAACACTCCAGCATTGGTGGGTAAATGTTTTTGAGAAGAGTCATGCTGAGGAGAAAAATAACCAAGTGATGTGGCCTGTGGTTAACTTAGGGAAAAAAAAGATGCAGTTGCCTGCTTTGAGCCAGAGTCACTAGGGAAGACATTAGTAGAAACTATTGAACCTGAACATGATATCAAAAAAACAACTTCATACAAGAGATGAAAGAAGAAAGGCTGCTTTGGATAGCACACAAACAGCCATTTAAAACCATTCAAAGCTCAATTATACAACAACTTCCTTGTGGGAAAAAAAAAAACAAAAAACTCTCAAGCCAAGAGTCTGTTTCGACTCACATATTCCCACCGTTTCTACACTTTGAATCTACATCTAATCCGCTACCGATGTCTTCCATAAGAATGCTCAAACAAAGATTAGAGAGCTTCTCCTTACCTTTTAATCAACAAGAGTTCAAGCAGGTGAAGTGAGAGGTGAGGGTTTTGATAGAGACAGAACAGAATGAAAGCAGAAATAGAAATAGAAAGGGGTGGGGAAAGCAAGAGGGCGGGGCAGGGCTACACAACACCATCAACAGCTTCTGTTTTTCTTTATTTTTTATTCTTTGCAACAGATAATAAAGAAACGCATGAAGGGAAACAAAAATCACATGGTACTACAACCAGCAGGAACTGATACTTATTGGATTCAGTGCCATAACTAATTTAAAGCCCGTGCACTGCCACTCGTGACTAGTATTTGCCTTGATGAATAAAGTTAAATCACAGGAGTTCCATAAATGCCAGAGGACAACATTAAGAACTGAAACTAAACTTGATGGAACATTTCCTTAGTAATCATCGAAATATTCTTTAAAATGTAAATAAATAAATAAATTTAGTCTTTAAAACTGTTTGGCACGTTATTTTTTTCCAGTATTATGTTATGTTTTTGTTAAAAGATATTATTGATATTTTACAGCCTAAATGATTTCCTAAGGAGGTTGAATTTTAGGACATAGAACTAATTCTTACAGTGCAGACAAAGAGAAGCTAAACAGTGCTATCACCACATGTAGAGTAATGAGTGTTTACAATCTGTGTAGAATAACAACCCAGACTCAAATCGCATTTAAATGTTTTGACTGCATATATTTCCGATTGATTATTCTTACTTGTTAAAACCACCATAATTCAAAACAAAGAAAAGTAAACAATTATTAACACCACTTGATTTTGAAAGATTTAATTAAATAAAATGTGGAAGTAGTGGTGAGTGACTGAGAACTTACTACAAGCTGCAGATCCTTCATGCTGTCTTAACGTGAATATAATTACTGAGAAGTTGAAACCTGAAATTTTCAGTTAGTACATATTGATTAAAATGCTTCCTTGGGTACTTGCTACAGCTCAAAATAAATTACAAATTAAAAAGGTAAAAAGTTGCATAAAAAAAAATATATCAATCAACTGAAAACTCCCTACATTTCAGCTCCATCTTTTCCTGGTACACCATGTCAACTAGCAAACTCCAGGAATGAATGGCACACCCAGACATTAAGACATCCGGGATGAAAAGAGGCGATAAAACATAAACAGTACGCCTCCTACCTGTAAATAGTCTTGTAAAATGTCTCAGGTACATCGAGGGTTAGATTATTCCAAGCCTCTGAGACCGTTTCCGGAGGATTTTCTTCATCTACTGGCCTGAGCTTTCGTTGTGAGAGCCATTAGATAAAAACTGTGCTGCCTGCGTCATCACTGCGGACCAAAACATCGGCGTTCAGCGTCAAAACCACGCGCGGTAAAACGAGGAAACGGTTTTTTTTTTTCGTAATTTACGTTAGCCACAAACATTTTAGAAAAACGTCAGTACAGAACTTATATATTTATTATGTTTATATTATTGCAAGTAGTTCATAATAGCTGTATAAACACGTTAAGGACGCGCTGTTACCATAGCTGCTTGAAATAGGCTAGTTGAAAGGCAGCGCTGCTGCAAGTTCTTTTGCTATATTTAAAAACATCCGCCTCAATTGGCGTACGTTTCCAAAATTAAACCATACCAGTTAACATGTTGCTCCCTCTTTCGATAGTGGGAAGTTAAAACTCACCGCACAACTTCCCCGGATGAAGGAGTCCCGAAGGCCGGACCAATCACACGGTTTGGGTTGCTAGCGTTAGCTGCGCGCACTAGCGGCGTGTTACTGGTTTTCTCTCAACTCTCGGAACTTTTTCTCCCTAAAATGTTTGGCTCGTCAAGATCTGGGGGCCTACGCGGAGGTCAGGACCAGTTCAACTGGGACGACGTGAAAGTCGATAAACACAGAGAGAATTATCTGGGTAAGTTCAGAAGCGCAGCTTTTATCAGTGCTAATCAGACGGCTAGCGAGCAAACGACGAGGGAAGATGGCTAAAAATCGCAGGCTCTAAACACATGTTGCCCCACCACATACGGCTGTCTCATACCTTTTGATGTAGAGTCCCTCATTACATAGAATCTGGACGGCTTGATTTGCTTGCTCTTGAAGGCGTGTTTTATTCCCCCGAACACAGCAAGTTTCCACTTTCACATTGCCTCCTCCTTAGGCAGAAAGAGCCTCTCAGCGGTCTGTGCCCTGACCGCTGCCCAGCTAGTCAGCATGCCAAACAAGAGGAGCTACGTAGCAGCACAGATGTGACATAAAAGGCGAGCTAAAAGAGCCTTGCACAACTTGTTTGCCAAGTTATACGTTGGGGTATCTCTGTAGTAAACAAATGAGTTAACAATTTACGAAATTGTGTTGATTAAACATTTTAGCATGTAGCAGTCCTAATTTTTTGAAACCCATACATTTACATCTCAGTAAATTAGAACAACGTCGGGAAATTAATTTATTCAGCAATTAATTTTTGTATGTGAAACTTGTATACGTCGATTACACTCAAATGGGTATAGTTTGTTTCTCTTCCTTTTGATGATAATCACTCATAGGAGCTACATCAGGTCTTAAAAAAAAGCAAGATTAAGCTATGTCCTACTACACAGTCACATGCTTGTTGAGCAGTCATTGACTCCCTCCACAAAGAGGGTAAGCCACAACAGGCTATTCCTAAAGCTGCCTGTTAAGAGTGACATATGATAGTGGAAAATTGATTGGAAGGAAAGACGTTTGGTGCTGCTGCATAATTAACAACTAACAACTAACTGTTGTCTTTGGGAAAATTCAAAAGGTGTGAATTAGGACCACAGTAATAGTTCAGGAGTTGCCATACATGGACATATCTGGGAAACAGGCCACAACTTTCAATCAGTAAAATAAGTTACTCTGGAATCAGAGGCAATCTCAGAAGCATTTTAGATAGGCTATTTCTCCGAAGTTTTCTAACATAAACAAGTTTCACTTTTTGAATTGAATTACTGAATCATATAACATTTTAGATGCCATTTTTTCTTGTTGATCTACATATGTAAATATGACACAAAGCATTTAATAATTTAGAAATATGTCCAAAGTCGGGATCCTTCTTAACACAACCTGACTAAAATAAATTAATTCAGTCTTTTAACACACCTTTTCCTCATTTACCAAACAGTTAATAAATAACCTTTGATTGATATAAGATGCTGCTAGTTAGGATATTTACCTAAATCAAAAGATTTGAGTACATATCCTCATCCTAAAATCTCCTCACTCTATATCAGTTAAAGCTGCAGCAGGTAACTTTTTTAAAACGGTCACTTTGTTGTGACAGTATAATATGAGACAGACAGTCTGTGAAAAGAATCACACTCCTGCCTCCTCTCTGTGGTCCTTCTGCAAAAACAACCAGTCAGAGCCAGGAGGAGTGTCTCTGCATTGTCACTGTTTAGTGGGAAATTAATAACTTTATTAAACCTAAACAGTCCAGCTGGTGTGTTTTCAGTGAAAATCAAAGCTTAGGTTGTAATACAAACTTAAAACGCATGAGTCATTTAACATTTGAGCTGTGTTTTACTTGTTGCCTAACTGCTCATAGTCGTGCAAAACTAAGATTTATAATGCAATAAAAATCAAAATGTAAGAAACTGGGTGGAAAACATGCTTCCGAATTTGTTTGACATCAACATTTAAATTGTGCCCAGTCATTTGCTCTGTTTTGTTCTTAGGAAACTCCTTGATGGCACCGGTTGGACGATGGCAAAAAGGTAAAGATCTGACGTGGTACGCAAAAGACAAAAAAACTGGCAAACCGTTATCCAAAGAGGACGAACTTGCTGCTGTGAAAGCAGCAGAAGAGGAGGCGCTGATGGCTGCTCTGTATGTATGACTTCACATGTACGTTTATTTAACACAAGAACTTTAGAGCTTCAAAATGCTTGACAAACCATTTGCATTCTCAATTTAGAGGACACAAAGTTATAAAGAGACAACCAACTGGCCTCACCAAAGAGGTAAGTGGTTTCGCTAGTGAACAGAATAAATCTGAGCATCTTCAATTGCTTAAGATCACATGGTTTAAATTTTATTCAATTTTCACAGGATCTTGTAGAGGTTTGTAGAAGGGAAGAGGCTGATGGTGAAGAGAGGAGCGTGGATCGTATATCAGGCTTGGGAAGCTCCAGGTGATTACCAATGTCATATAAAATTAGCAATGATTCCATTTCAAGCTGGAATGTGAGTCCTTGTAATCAAGTTACAAATAATAATTGAGATGATCAAATAACATGGCTTAATAGGACAACTTTGTTTCGTTTGCCAATTATAAATCTGAGCAAACAAAGATCTGGTGAGGTTTTTCAAGGCTTCATGTTACTAAATTAATCTGCTACCATTTTGAAGACTTTGTCACATTAAAATGCTTCCTGATTTTATTTTTTCTAAGTTAGATTTTTGTATTTGTATCTGTGGGGGGAAAAAAAGGCAACTGCAGCAAATTGAGTCATATCTCAGTATTCTCGTACAATTCAACTGTGTAAAGCAATTTTAAAATGTCACGAATGGTTGTGGGCCTTAAACATAGTATTTGTTTATTTCTGGTTCTTTAGTTTACTGAAAGGTCCTCTGAATTACCTTTTGGTTAAATAGTGCGACCGGAAAAAAAATAGCCTTGGCTGACAAAATGCTTGTTTTTCTCCTCTGCTTGTGTTTGAAGTGTGGGGTCACGGAAGATATTGCTGTCCCAAAAAGAGAAAGAAGCGGCTAAAATGGGTCTGCCAATTTTCACAGTGAGTTCAGTTTCCTTTTCAACTGTTAAATGCAGATTATCTGACGTGAAATCCTTGTGACAGTGGCAGGTTCAGTTAATGGTTACTTAAGATTTATTTCCTGCTATCATCTTTATGCCTTAGTGCAAAATCGTAACCATTCTTGTTTTGCAGCACCACAAGACTGAAGGTCGTCAAGAAACATCTGCAACAAAAACATCTGAGAGCGTTGAAAAACCAGAAGAGACAGAAAAAGGGTAAATGTGAATTTTACTAACCCTTTACATCTACAAAACGTCCAGCATTAAGTGGACACGATGAAATGGGAGTCTGGATATTATACGCCATGATAATGAAGGTCAACCTTTGTTTAATTTTAGTTTGCATGAGAGCAAAAAGAAAAAGAAAGAAAAAAAGAACAAAAAGGAAAAGAAGAAGAAGGAAAAAAAGAAGAAAAGGAAAAGACGAGATTCGTCAGCCTCTGAGTCCACGTCATCAGATGATAACAGGAAAAGGTATGTCCAATGACAAACCGGTTTGTGATGTACTCGAATAATCCAGACATTATATCAAATCAGAAACATCATCCAATTTCACTGTGTGAAATAATCACAAATGCCTCCTTGGAAGCATGATTTGGTTGGCTTTTATAGTTTCATTCATTCATTCATTCTTGGAAATTGTGTGGTTATGTTTCCATTCTTTCCTGTCTGACCACTCTCAAATAAAGGCCACTAGAGCTGATAAGACCATAAAAAATTCTATTTTTGCATTTTACAACTTTACTTTTTGTAGAGATTAAAATTGCTAATAGCAGGTGTTATTCTTTCTTTAATATTACTTGAGTTATGTCGGTAAAAGTAAAAGACTTGGATTTCTCATTAATTGTGGCCATTTTATTTGAAACCTGCTGCTCTGAACATTGGCTTAGCATTTCTTCAAGTGAAAGAGATTTGCTATTACGGGATGGTAGCTTAGAGACAACAACAATTAGGTTTCCAAAAATTCTGCAATCCTAAGACCGATAAAAACATTTGGCAAAACTGAAAAAGTTTGGAAAAACTCATTCTCTAGACCAGTGGTCCCCAACCTTTTTATTACCACG